CGGGATTCAGCAACAGATTATGTACTTGCAACATGGGGCTACTTATGCTTGAAACTCTGCCAGCATCAAGCAAATCCTCCTTATCACTGCAAAATCTTTGCCAAAGCACACCCAAGGGCAAAAGTCTCTCAAACAAACATACACAGATTAAAAGCTGCCAGAAAGATCAAGTAGCGGCCCTGCTGCCTTCTTCTTGTACACTGACACCTTACTACACCACAGACAGGACCCAGCCCAACCTTTTCCAGGATATTCCTATGGCGGTTTACCCGAGCAAGCCTTTGGCAACCAGCAGTGCCCCACAGCGAGGCCACGTCACAGTCTGTCCCATCGTCAGCTCTGACGGACTTAGCTGAGAAACGACTTCACAGAACGCAGCGCTGCGGCTTGGGAAACCAGCCAATCCGTGCAGTAAGGTAACTTAAACGTAACTTGAGAGTAAGGGGACTGGTGCTTCCCCCCCCCCGAGCAGGCTAAAACATCTTCAACCTGATTTTAGAAACCTGTCACAGACTGGTTTGGGTTGGAAGGGGCCTTAAAGACCATCTAGTCCCACCCCCCCTGCCATGGGCAGGGACCCCTTGCACTAGACCAGGTTGCTCAGAGCCACATCCAGCCTGGCCTTGAACACTTCCAGGGATGGGGCATCCACAGCTTCTCTGGGCAACCTGTGCCAGTGCCTCGCCACCCTCTCCAGGAAGAACTACTTCCTGATATCCAATCTAACCCTCCCCACTTTCAGTTTAAACCCGTTACCCCTTGTTCTGTCACTACAGGCCCTTGTAAAAAGGCCCCCCCAGCTTCCTTGTAGCCCCTTCAGGCACTGGAAGGTGCTATAAGGTCTCCCCAGAGCCTTCTCTTCTCCAGGCTGAACAAGCCCAACTCTCTCAGCCTGTCCCCATAGCAGAGGGGCTCCAGCCCAATGGAGAATATGGAGAAGCATCCTAAGTTTTACATCTAGGAAATAAGCCTGGATAGTACCTAGAATCATGGAATATTTGGGATGGAAGTAAGATCATCAAGTCCAACAGTTGTGTCATGAACTTCTCATGCAGAGTATTCTGAACGCCAAGGAGCGGTACAAGCTGACGACACTGCTGCGGGAAAACAACACCGTTGGCTGGGTTGTAGCAAAACCCCTAACGAGCCCTTTCTCTTCCAGCTGCAGCCTCCCACGTTACTTCTGCCGATGCCAATGAAAAGCCTGTCCAAAGATTGAGGGGATGCAGCCTAAAATGTGTCACGTCTTCAGCCAGGAGGAGAAGAAACTGATACCAAAATGCCTTTCAAGCTTGGAAGGGTGGAAAGTGAATCATAAAATATAGCACTCATCAAAAAATGGGATAATCCTCCGCTGGCAAAGGTGTGCTGGAAGACCCACAGTAGCCCTTCTGCATTCCCAGGTACCCAGTAGCTTCTCGGCAGGGAACTCCCAACCGCACAGCAAAATTAGTAGGTACGAACCAGCAAAGTTGCACATATAGATTCTGTTTCAACGTGAGAAAGCAGCTGATACTCACAGAACTCTGCGAGATCATGGCCTACCTCAAACCCAACCTATGCTTGGTTGCTGGTTGCGTAGATAATAGTAACATTCAAGTGGCAAGTTCCCTGCTTTTGGCGGAACACAGAAAAAACACGGAGCAAATTTCTGAAGCCCTCACATGGAAAAGGTGGCACCCTAAAGCATCCATAAGCACATCTTATGAACTAGACATTATCCATCCAAAAACACCAAAGATCTACGTTTCTGACCACAAAGCATCTTTCCCAAATCTGATGAGATTTTAGTCTGCTGGGCGTCAGTTTTACCAGCCCTCCAGCAAAGATTTTAGTCAAAGAGCCAGTGCTCCTAACATTAAAAACTCAGATACATGTATAAATCTCAAGATGAGGTCATAATCCCCCTTTCCATGATAAAAGGCGGGGAGCAGGGGGAAAAAAAAAAAAGGTCACAAGTATCTTTCACCCATATCTTTCTACATCACCTATGTGTTTTCCATTTCAAAATACTGCAGCACACGTACCCTGGAATATGAAAGTCAAACTGATGATGCAGATGACCAAGGTTTGGGCTTTATTCTTCCACAAAATAAACCAGCACAGATTTGGGGCGTGCTTTGTATTTTTGCTTGTACGTCCCACTGAACTCCCCACCCGCTGTACGTGTTGGGGAAAAAAAAAAAATCAGCTACCTCCTTCAAGGGGACAGCGTTCCTGTCGATACACGGCTTTATCAGAGACAGGACAACGCGCGCCCCGGGCCGACCCGGCGCTCTCGCTATTGTATGGAGTAGGGTTATATACAGTCCAAATCACAGCCACCTCCACCCTGAACTTCAAAACACAAGTTGCTACTCAAGGTACACGGGTATGTCACAAATTCAGAAAAAAAAATATCACACGTTTCAAGACAGTGTTGAGTCTACTCTTCCCCTTCATGGCAAGCAGCATGTTTATGGCAGACCTGAGTATGGGAATTATTTCACACCCTTACATACTTCGGGAAGATACAGGCCAGATGACGGAAAATACTCCAAAACAGCACAGAATTGGCAATCTCAATATATTTACAGGCAAAGAAGCGTATCGCACCGTAACTGAAGTTATTGCTTCTCGTGGACAAGTGCGGCAAAAAAAAACAGGATTTGTTTGGTGTTTGTCTCCCCCGTCCCAAGCACAGTGACTCAGGACCACTGCGAGGATGGTTTTAACATGAAGGCGTTGCCTACCACCACAGCTACGTCTACAGCGTGGGCACCGCCAACCCACCCGACGCCGCTGGCGACAGAAAGCTCACGTAGGTGAATCTCCACGGGCGTTTCAAACCCAACCATCGCTCCTACGCTTCCAGGGTCCTCCTAGGCTTGGTCTGTGTTACAGGTTTTGACACAAGAAAACCTCCCCCAGAGCCTTTCAAAAGGGGTTTATGGATACCAAAAATGCCAAAGTAGCGTCTAAGGCTGACCTCGTATTGGTTCCTCAAATACTCCAAGCTCCTGCTGCTCTGCCACGCTGACGGAAGCAGCCACGGACCCTTGCCCGCAAAACCGCGCGCATCAGCGTGACTGCTGGTGGCATGCTTTTCGATCACTGCTCTGGAATGTAGGAGAGCGGTGGTAACTGCTGGGTCTTTAAACCAGCTACTTGCATCTGAGTACAGGAAAATGAAGGGTTTGGAAAAAAAAAAAAAACCAACAGTAAATGAACTAGAAATATGAACTACCAAAACTGAGCTTAAGTTGTAAACATCTCATAGAATCATAGAATCACAGAATGGTTTGGGTTGGAAGGGACCTTAAAGACCATCCAGTTCCAACCCCCCTGCCACGGGCAGGGACAGATTCATGTTTATAATATTTACCTACTTAACGGCCAAGCCAAAGGCTATCTATGACCTCGGGGCACAGGACACCGAAACACCGACCACCCCCTTTACATGAACACAGGTGAGTTTCTGTAGGCACGAAGCCAACAGTGAACGTTAAACTGATGCAAATGCCAAAGCTTTACTCCCGGAAGATCGCAGGAATTCGAAACACTGGAGAAGTGGGCCTGCAGGCAACACCACTATGTGAGCGTTACAGGTGCTGTGAGTCCTCACCCCCTCCCTCGCCCCCACCCCCCCATCGCAATACAAGGCAACACAAATATTCTCGGCTACAAAGGAATCTGTACAGGGAACAACTTTACAACTGACGTGACTGCGGAATCGCAAGTGTGACAAAGCGGTTCTGCTCCCACTGAGAAACAGAATACAGCAGGGCCCCACAGGTACAGGTTCAGCTGAAACCAGTGATGCAAGGCCAAAATTGTAGAAACTGCACTGGCAATTAGGACAATTACCCAGCTCGGCCTCCTTTAGATCTGCAGCATAACAAAGGCGTTGGACAGAGCAACGTTCAGGAGACAATGTTATCCAGGCAAGAACTGCTCTGCAAGTGACAAGAGATAGTGACACTCGCTGCACTTGTTCTCCAGATAGCAGCAGTTGCTCCTGTTCTTTGCCCTTTTTGATATGAATCACAGTAGCAACAGAGAGAAATATGTACTTTAAAAAAAGAAAAAAAAAGCAGAATTATGTATGTACAAGAAAAATGGTCGACGTGTTGTGCAATTGGTTTTAACTACGGAAACCCACTAAAACTGCTGTTGCTAATAAATATTCATAAACTCTTCCCTGTGCTGTGAAATTCAGAAACTACTACAATTAATTCTTGATATAAAAAGTATGGTTCTAAGCCCTCATATCTGATCCAGTTTGTCTTTTTTTTTTTTTTTTAACTATGATACTTTATGGCAACTAATACTTAACCACAGTTTTACATGGTGTACCCTGCCAGAGACATCCTGTGTTTCGTGGAGCCCTGGTTATACCAATATAATACAGTAAAATAACAATAAATTAAAGAAATGCTGGTGCATTAGAAAAAAAACCAAAACAAAACAAACACCACCCCAAAAAAGCAGCCCCCAAAACAAACCACACAATCAAATGCTGGTCTCCACACGAAGAAGAGACCAAGGATTTAGATGCAAAGTACTACAGATCCTGCCATCAAAAAAAAAAAAAAAAACCAAACCCAAACATTCAAACAAGGAAACAAAAACCTGTGTGTGTTTTAAAAACGAAACCCAACCCCCACACCTCGATGGTATCTCACCCATGCCTATATCACCTCTTGCTGTGCCCAGACTTGCGGTTACCCATTTACACCTCAGGAGGCAGCCTGGAGATGAGAGTAGTACAACAAAATAATTACCTGAAACATTTTTAAAAAAATACCCGTTAAACAAATTACCTTAACTGGCAGCACTTAAAATCGGTAATTCTTTTTTTTTTCCTATTTAAAAAAAAGTTGCATAGCTGTAAGATTTTGCTTTGCTGCATTTTTTTTGTTGTTGTTTTTACTCACAAGCAGTAAAAGAGAAGGTTTAGTTACTTAAATAGCAGTTAAATGTGCAGATTTCAACAATCCCTATAGCTTGATCAATATAAATTAGTAACCTGTCTTGGTTTTACTCTTTGGACTGCATTGTGACAAAGGTTTAGTTAGAAAATTTTGAAATACAGTATTCCTATGCAGAGAAGTTTATGTTTTCTGTTCTTGAAAAAAAGTGAAGAACGCAAAACAGGGTGTGAATTCAGTAAATTAAGGTCACACTGTTAGATTATATTTAGTTTGCCATTTACTCTTCTTCAGCCAACGCGAAGGTGAGAACGCTCCCACTGAAAACCGGGGCCATCCTCCTGGAAGGGTCTCAGATAGCACGTATCGAACGTGTCCGCTTCCACTTGAGGCAGTAGGAAACATGTCCAATAACCCGCTTCTTCACAGAACCAGAAGTTAGGCTGAAATCGGGAACTTTGGCCTTCGATAGAAAATAGCGTCAGTAACGTCTGTGGGGAGTCGATTGTTACAGGATGTGCAGCATTTTCAAAATCCCTGCGTGGTCCTTTGCGTGAGGGTTTGGTATAGCGAGCGCAGCTGGCAAGGAACCGGTGTCCGCAACGCCTTTGCCATGTCACCGTCCACCTCTGCCTTCTTCAGCCACGAAGAACTGTCAAGTCTCAAGCCAGGCACGCCGTGTTCAGCACGGGGACCTCACACCTCCTGTCTTCTGACCAGGGGAAGCAGCTGCTGAAAAAGCAGAAGACAAAGCGCCATCCTTTCAGCTACTTCGGTGCAGAGCACACGCAAACGGCATGAGCGCAACCCCCGCGTTTTCTTCCCCTTGTCCCTAAGCTCCAGGTTATCACCATCTCCGCCGCGAAAAAACAACCCCAAACACAATTTCACCCGAGGCTGGACGCCCGCGAGCAAACGTCGCCATGAACAGCAGGTGGGCTTCTTCCACAATCCAGCTGTTGGGGGGGGCAACAAACCCAGCTACCAGACGGAATTTCGGGTATCTCCATTTCCCTAAGGATGACGACGACTGTTGGTATGTTTGGCAATGTTTACGGGCAGTAGTTTCATGCAAGGTAAAGTTGTCTAAAAGAGTAAACCCATCCGTGAAACCTTTCGACACCGACTGATCTGCGACCGTTAACGCAAAACATCAGCCGGAAAAATGTGCAACTCTCCGAGATGGGATGGATAGAAACATGTCAACATTTCTATTTATCCATCTATTTTAAACATTCTGGAATGTATTCACATGAAAGTGGTTTCGAAGATACCGAGTTTCAACGTTCTCATATGATTACAAAAGCCAGAGATAAATGCCAATGCTCATGGAACAATCCAAAATTACACGACTGTATTATCTTAATTTTGTTTCATTTCCATGGAAAAAATACTCTTTCAAAGTTAATGCTAAAGCTTTATTGGCACTGACTCGCCACTTTCCAGTACTAAAACTGGAATACACCGTTTCAGACCCTGCCATATAAGGACGCCGAAACCTTTTACATATTGCAACCTACGTCAATACTTGCTGATTAATATTGCAGCGCTGGGACACAGCAGCAAACCCACAAATTAAATAGCGTAAAGAGCTATTTCAGGTAATCAAGATACTTGCTGTTGAAAATGTACGCATCTAAAAATAAGTATTACCTGAAAACATGAATCTCGTCTTAATCTGATGGATGCTCGGGGCAAGATCTGTTCACTTCAAACCATTCATCTATGCAGCTGTTGGGTGCAAGACAAAAGTGACAACAGTGCTCATGAGTATCTCGGTAACACTGAGCCGTAAGATATGAATATAAAAGCGGTTAAGATATGAATATAAATGGGTTTCTTATCATTTCGATGACTAGTATACAAAGTTGTCTATGTACATACACACATCACTGGAAAATTTAATAACCCCAAACCACAGTAATATTTGGATATTAAACAGCGTTGAAAAACTAAGTTTCCTAAGTGTTAAAACTGCCTAAGGAAGCATTTTACAAGTTACTATCCAGCTTTTTTTTTTTAGGTGAAGAAACAGAAAAATGCCATTTATAAACATCTTAAGGGTTGCTGCTGTTGTTTCTTTGTTGCTTGTTTGGTTTTTAAGTCAAAAGCCACCAAGTTTTAGTGCTCCTTTAAGCACCCCTTAGAAGAGTTACCCCATAAACGCAACCTCCTGGAATTTTACGTGCATCCTGAGGAATACTTGCCCTTTATGATATATGCAGAGGCAAGGCAGCCGTGCTATAGTATCTCCTTGCTGCAGCTCTTCCAGGCATATTGCACACTCCCCAGCATCTTTACTCAGCACATCCTCTGAAGAAAGAGCACAAAGTTAAATGGTTAAAAAGCCAGACTACTACAAGGAAAATGTTCTTTATTCAGAACACCAAGGACAGCTACAGAAAACACTTCTTATCCTGCAGAAAGCCCTGTCAACGTGAGGATCAGTCACACGCCAGGTACCTGAAGATTCCTGATGGGAGCCCTCTCAGCAGCTCAAATCAGAAATATAGTTGTGATTGAGTTTCTTCCCTGAACACAGGCATAGCTCAAAACAAAGTCCTGTAAGAAGACAGCCATATGGAGAAGAGTGGTAGCCATAACCAACAGCCAGCATCCCTTTGGAGCGTATGCTCTCCCAGCAGATCCAGACCCTACTGCACAGGCTCCTCTGGTCTGACCCTGGAAACCCACGTTCAGCACGCTGTGCTGCCAAACCCCAGGAGCTCCGCGTTGGAGAAGTTGGGATCTTTCTACAGATGGTACATAATGCCCCTAGGGCTTTGAGGATTCATGCTGGGTGGGTTCTTCCCAGCTGTCCCCTCTTCCCCACGCTCAGCTTTCGCTATGGAGGTTCAAGCCTGAACATAACGCTTCTCCAGACAGGGCACTGCAGGTTCTTAACTTCTAAACACTCAGCCTACCATGTGCCTTTTCTGCTCTGTACATCTGGCTTTCTTTCACCAGCCTTTCTGGTACTTGTATTTCACACCTTCAACCTCTTCTTCTCACCATGCCAGCACATCCTACCACATCCCATCCACCTTTTCCTCAAGGTAAAGCATGCAACTGTTAGCAATAGGAGTGGGAGCTTTCCATCAGGAAAAGATCAGTGCTGTATGGCTCCAATCACCCTAAATTTCTGGAGATATTAATGCTGCAAAAAATTCAGTAAGTCCCATAACAAACGAGGAGAAAGTAAGTTACTAGGAATGCACAAGAGTTGGCTTTCACACAGAAGTTTCTGGGAAAATAGATTATTTTTAATAAAAACCTTCTCTCTTGGACACTTGTCTTAGGCAGAACGTGGGATGCAGAATTCAGCCTTAGCACAAAGCAACGCAGGAGCTCATGTAAGGCTACGTTTGCCAGAAGCAGGTTGAAAGTCCCTGTTAGACGTGCACTCCCACAGCGCACAGAGCATTCCCAGCCAGGGACCACGCAACAACCAAGCTGAATGGCAACCTGGCAGGTCAGGAAGGTGCACACTTGGCAGCGCAAAGCCCACATATTCACGCTTCTGAGGAAAAGCTTCCCCTTCTTAACCAAAAGGGGCCTAAAGGGACTGTTTATGGAGAGTTTGATTCCCAGGTCCCGCTGAGAAACCACCAGCTCTAGGCTATTCCCTCCAGCGGCTCCACTACTCATGACTACGGCATTGCAAACACACAGAAAACGACAAGCAGAGAGCTGAAAAGCTGTCATTGCAGCCAAAAGTGAAATGAAATTAGGTCTACTTTGTCTCCCTTAGAATGACAGCAGGCTGTCTTGCAGGTGCTTGGGTTTCTAAGTGCGTATTTCAGTCTCTGCTATATTCGCTGCTTGTGCTAAAAATACCGTATAATGCCACGTGTGTGACATCTTCGTGAGGGTATGTGAAGAATACCTAACGTGAAGAATATCTAATATCTAACTGCTGTAAAGAAAACTATTCAAACCAAAATAATCAACAAATACACCTATCACAATGAAGAAAATAAAACACGTATTTTACATACAGTAACATAACTTTTAGGCATTGTATTGAGAAAATGTTTCCTGTTTTCTATCAGATATGCTTCTGAGAACATTAGAGGGACCTAAGAGAGAAAGCAATTTAAAACAATAAAAGATCTTACGAACTCTTATCTGGTGCTACAAGATCCTGACACTAAGAACTTGCCCAGAAGAGGGTGCTAAGGATAAATACTTCCTTGAGGTGTTTTGTTGGGGTTTTTTTCTTGTTTGTTTGTTTTTTTTAATAAAAAGATACTTCAATATCTGACAGCAGGAGGCAAAAACTCTCCAGAGAGCACTGTCCTGATACAGAGATACTAATCTTTCCCTGAGGCTCTCAGACATTACCCTCCTAGACCGCCTGTTTACACAAGTATGTTGCCAAAAGTCCTACGAGCAGATCTACTCTCTTCCCACAGTCAGGTTACAGGAAGAAGTGCCATTAACTCAAACATCTATTTAAGGTAATTTTTTCCACGGAGTCACTTTATCTGATCAGCAGCTGGTACCCAAAACAAAGTGGCACTAAGACATCTCCAGTGAATTAATCCCCAGCCTCCCTCCTTCAGCACTGAAGAGAGAAGCATCCAGTCAAGCTTTGACGGCAAAAGCTAGACAGATGTCCAATAAAAACACAATTTATAAAAGAAAACATTCCTGTGAACTGCTTTCACACCATTCTCTATCGTACGCGTCTGGCTCATCGCGCGCTCCCCAGACTGTACAGCGCTTGGGTCTGAACTCCCGCTGAGCGATTTAACAAGGTTCTGCACTTTTTGGCTATCATTAGGGCAAGATGCCAATTTAAACATTTGTATCTCCCACCAGCCCTGGCATAAGTGTCCGAGACTCCTTTTCTTCCCGCCAGTACTCCTGCACTCCCCCCAGACGCCTCCCCCTTTGCAATACTGGCCCTACTGCGCTAGCTGCGGGCAGCTTGCTGCCCTCCCTGGCTTCGCCCCTGACCCTTCCACCGGGATGAGCTGCTGGGCACACACCGGGTTTCACCCAGTTGTGCCAGAGGGAGCTGGTGTGAACGCTGATGGTACGGACACGGGCTCTCAGCAACGTGGTGGAGTTCTGCCACCCCTGCAGAAGAGATTTTGTTAGTAGGTTGGAACGCTCCTCTTCCTCCGGAGTAACGAGGAGACAGCATCCCCCACTTCTTACTTACGCATCCTGCCAGGCTCTCAGGAAAGAGAAAAGCACAAATACTGCAGGAATCAGTACAAAATACCCCACTGCTGTCAATGCCCTTCTGCCACTTGGCCCTGCATGCAAACCGACTCTGAAGCCATGTCATTATGCTCACCATTGATTACACATGTAGCGCGATGAGAGCAAAACCAAATCCTTCAAGGACATATGACACTTTGGGTCTGACTCCCTTTTGACTATTTTAGGTGATTTGCATCATCAGTCCTAGATGAAGAAAAAGGGGTGACAAGAACTGCTAGACCTGGATCCGGTCAGAATTCCCTCTGTACTTCATATAGCACTCCCCTGTAGCAACACTGGCTTATACCGGTCAGTTGAAGGGTCGTTTAAGATCTACTTTTAGACACATCTGTTACAGAAAAATGTGTACATCATTTCACACACAACCACTGCAGTCTGAATGATTTTTGTTTTCACATTTTCCTGCAGCGGAGCGATTCAGCAGATACATATTATTATTTTTTTAGTTTTTCTCTTAAAGAAGAAAAAAAAAACCCAACCCAGTTGCGATTTCATCAATGTTATGATTAAAACATTTATATGAGTATTAGCTAAATGGAAGTGGGAAGAGGAAATAAGCAGAGGCCACATTTTTCCATTTCGCCCACACGTGGCTACATACACAAACACTCACCGCACCCCCACATCCATCTGCCTTCACCAAATAGGAGGTAAACACTCCTCCACCTTCCCAGCCATATGAACAAGTACTCACTAGCCAAGGGCTGGTGTCAAAGACGAAATCTGGCAAACACCAGCGTATTTCCCTCCTGCGCTGGCTCAAGTACTTCTTCGTCCTCTCCTCTCCCCTGATTAATAATACCATTGTTTTAGCTTCTGACTGCCAGTCATTTTCCCTCCTAAAATTTTGCTTTTGTCTTTACTGAAAAATAAATTCTACTCCATTCCTGCATTTACAGCAAAATAGGTGGTACTGAATTAATATGCAATCATCCTGGCAATTTTGCACTTACTTTACCTATTAAAAACTTTTTCTAGAGTTTTTGAAAAACATATCCAACAACTATCAAAGCCACCAACTTGGCCACGGTCAAAATTATAGGCAATGCCTGTGATGAAATAGTCTGTCTTTAAACTGAGGACTGCAAAAGCAGGTGGCATACATACCTTACGGATCAAGTCATTAAAATGCTACTCTTTTTTGGTTTTCTTTTTAAAACAGATAGACACAGCCCCAGGGCTCAGGAAACCCCGCGTCACAGATCAGGGAGATGGCAATAGTATTTGGTGTGGTATCACCTTAGAGCTGCAATGTTTTATTTCTCTCTAGGCATTCACTGGAAACAGAACACCAAGTTAGAAATACCTTTGATCTGAATTTCGTCTGTTTCCAACAGGCACAATAACACCATCGCACGACTTGCACGGTAATACCTAGAACTTAACCAATCTAAAAACACCTTCCCCACGACAGCACACAAAACCATAACCTCTCCAAACCAACCTAACCAGCTACGAGAAAGGCGACGCTTCCTCAAATACTGACAAGGCATGCGATGGATTTGGGGGGTTTTACTTGGCATCTCACTCTTCACCCCTTGCAATGCATGCTACAATTTCCTATTCAAAGTCCAAGCGTTATCCTTGTTTTCCCTTCCCCTCTCACCTGGCTCAGTGCTGGTCCAAGACTGAGGTATCTACATACAAACAGATACCCGTCATGGAAAACTTCCTGCACAAACATTGCCTACAGTCTTTGGTGCTCCCCTCTCCTAAAACACAAAGTGAAAGTCACACAAGAAGACTACCTGCAGAACGGAGCCTAAGTTGCAGTCGTTGCATCGCAACACTGCGCTGAGCCAGAGAGAGGTAGCTGCAGAAGTTTCATTGTTTCTCAGCTAAGCCAACATTTGAAGAACTGGATTTAGATTTTTGAGGGACATTCTCAGCTTTCAGAAGCTAATTCTGAGAACCAGCTAGATGCTTCCTGTTCAGACAGATAACGATCAGGTGTACGGTAGAGAAAACACACCTTTTTTTTTTTCCTTTTTAATACAGATAAAAACTGAAATAATAGTGATAGAAATATATTTAGAGAACAGGAAGAGTATAAAAGCCTGTATAGTCCTAGCTACCTA